GCCTGCTGTTGCTCGGATCTAGCGCGGCGGCGGAGAGAAGCGCCGCCCGCCTCCTCCCTCTCGACGCGCTCGCCGCATCCCCTCCGCGGGCGCTTGCCGGCATCCCAGCTCGTCTTGACAGCCTCCCCTCTTTTGTCCCCTCCTCCCGCCGCCCCGAGCTCCGGCGGGCGTGGTGGGGAAAGCGAGACGGGCGACAGGTGCCGAGGACATTGAAGATGATGACGGCGAGCTCGGGCGCGGTGGCGGCATGGCGACGGCCACGACCATGTCGACCCACCACTGTGCGCGCTGACCTCCCGACGGCCCGAGAGAGAGGGGTGACATTGGGGCACTTCGCCGCCCTCGCCACTTTGCCGCCCTCCGCCTCGACAGGGGGGCACAGGCGCCGTCACGCTCACTGGCCACCGGCCGCCTCTCCACCACGCCCGCCACGCCCGCCGCTTGCCTCGGCCCCACCACTCCCTGCCACGCTCGCTGCCCGTCCGCGCACCGCTGCTGCTGCCAATTGCCTGTCGACACGCGCCTGAGAGAGAGAAGGGGGGAGGGGGAAGACTGAAGAGAGGTAATGACAGGTGGGCCCTATATTTTTCTTTTATTTTTTTTGCTGATCGGATTTCCACGTCGACGCCATGTGCATGTCACGTAGGAGCAAAACCGCTCAGTATTGAGTCCGGGGGGGGGGGGTGGTAATTCAGCCGGTATCAATAGTTTGAGGTGTAATATGTTCGGTTTTGGTTCGGGGGGGGGGGAGAGAGTAATTCGTACTATCGCAATTGTTTGGGGTGGAAGGGGGGGGGGTAAAACATACTTTTTTCCTTTGTAAAAAAAAAGACATGTTATCAACATATGTTCAATTTTACATTAAATGAAACAATTTGGTGGTGTAGATGTTGTTAAATTTTTCTATAAACTTGATCATTACTAAATAAGTACTAGAAAAAATCAAAATGACTTATAACATAAAAACGGAGTGAGTATAGTCTGCACTGTGCTCTTTAATGTTATCTATCCATTTCGAAACAAGGGTTGCAATCAATTCTCCTATCTATGTTTTATAACTCAAACATTATTTATTCATATTAGAAACAAAGTACATGGTTTATAGCATTGGTAAATCCATCACCACAAACATTTATCCCCTAGCGTGATAGAGAAAATGACCAGAGACCCACAGCGAACCTTTGTGATAGTAATAAAGTGTGGCGTGGAGGCTTTGGAGCACAAATCCCTACTACTATAAAGAGGAAGTCATCCTCCTCCACCTTCTCGTAAAAACATCTTTCCTAACAAAACCCGTCCACCCTAAAAAAAATGTTTTCTAATAAAACCAACCATATTCCCAAAAATGAACAGTCCACTAGATCTAAATCCTCCCACTAAACCGAATAAAAAAATTCATTGCAACAGAAAACAAGGTGAGTGGCAAAACCGACAAAAAAAACATTGTAACCCTCCACATATGAATGATAAACTAAAGATCTCTAAATGGAAAATGGCTGAAGGTTGAAGAAACTGTTTAACTGAGACCCTCCAATTTTTTATCTTGGATCCGCCCCTGATATGTTGCACACTACACGGCTCACACGGGAGGTGCCCACATGGCACAAGATGATGATGATGAGGCTTGGACGGAATTCTTGTCGGCGAATTCGGTTCTCCACGTACGCAGCAGAGAGATGGACGTTAATAACAAATCTAGCGAGAACATGGGCCAATGCATTATGGAGCTTTTCTTGGCAAATAAGATAGTTATAATATTCCAGATCGGCTTGTCTCTTTTCTGTTCTCATGTGCAAGCAAACGTAGGTATACTAGGAGACGAATAAAATTTTCAATTCTCATGTGCAAACCAACATAGGTATGGTAGGAGATGAATAAAGTTTAAATTCATATGTGCAGGTGAACGTAGATATTGTAGGTTACGTCAAAAAAAAACGTAGATATTGTAGGAGATGAATAAAAATTTTGGAGCGAGCAGAGCTGGTAGAGAATCAATGGAATCGATGTGTGGAAAGAAAAATATACATTATTTTTTAGCCACGGTTGGCCACGAGGTACCACGCAGTCCTAGGGCCGGCCGCGTGTGACCAATAAAGATGCCTTGCATGCATACGTGTTGTTTGGTCATGCGGTTAAGCCATGGGACTGATATGCCGATGTCGGATTTATCCCTGCACGGTGATACGTGTATATTTTTACAATTTTTTTAAAGACAAGTATATAACTAGAAAAACATTAAAAATAGTCTTTTTTCTCTATGTGTGCATGGTAATCGTCCCTTGGGAATCGATGGGTCAACCGTCGGAATTTTATGATATTTTGCTCCCATTTGGAATAGTTGGAGATTTTAAGAGACACAGTTGATGACAATCTGTAAAATACTCTCTTCGTTTCTAAATATTTGACGCTGTTGGCTTTTTTAAATATATTTGACCGTTCGTCTTATTAAAGAAATTTAAGTAATTATTAATTCTTTTTGTTAAATATACTTTCATGTATATAAATAATTTTACATATTTCATAAATTTTTTTTGAATAAGACGAACGGTCAAATATATGCTAAAAAATCAACGATGTCAAATATTTAGAAAAGGAGGGAGTAGGCCTTTATATTTTTCTTGCTATAGCTCAAAAGCTAGATAAGAAATGTATTGCTTAGAAAAGCTGAATATTTCAAGAGGAACTGCAGCTGAACTGCTTTTGAGTGCTCATATAATCACGTCCATGGTATTAAACAGATCCCCATATATGATGAAATTTGATTTTGGTGTAGTAGAGTTACTATGCCGCATTATGCAGGCAGGACAAATAGAACTGCAGGACAGTGGTCCAGCAACAGAAGCAACGAAACGAAGAAAGTAGCGTTGAGACAAGTTTTTGCACTGCAGTAATTCTCGGAGGCCAAAATCCATATGAAATTATGAATGTGGAGATCTTCGTGACATAATTCTGACAGGGAAAAATGGCAGGAGGTTCCATGGGCTCAGGCCTAGCCCATACTTCTTATCAGAGCCAGGCAAAACCTGAAGTCCAGCTCCAGCCTCTTTTGGACTCCACCCAAAAATTCATAAGATGAACTACAGAGGTGGAACACCTCCTCCACCTCTTGAAGTTAAATTTAGAAGCTAGAGCCATACCAAACGGACCATAAAATCGGAGGGACATGAAGAAACCAATTGTTGAGCACACCTCACAGTATCACGCGAAGACAAGAAACCGCTATTGCAAAGTGGATAAACAACCAAGATATACAATTCTATCTCAACACCCACCATGTTGTGCACTATATCTAGTATAAAGCCAGCCCGTAGCCCAGTAATGATAAACTGTAGGTATATGAAATGAAAAACGTAAAAACATCAGAATGAACGTGCAAAACAAAGAATTGAAAAACTTAAGAGAAGTATGAGATGTGTTGTTTGGATCACAGCAATTGGGTAAACACAGGAACCTTGCAAAACAACTAGAAAGTATAATTCCCTTGGTTAATGTATGATGGTTTGGGTCATTTTGGTGCTTCGTTACTTGGTTTGCCCTGGGCTTAGCAGATGAATTGAAAAACGAATTCTTTGCAAAATGTTTCAATTTCTATGGAAACTGTGAAAAAGAATACAAATGAATGAATAGTACCAACTCCTATAGGTTTTGAATTCCCCCAGCTTTCCTAAAAAATTCCTACAAACCAGAGTAGCCCTGAAATATTTTGCAGCAGAGTGAAACCCTTGAAGCAAAAGTAGAAAATAAAACCCTGAAATTTCTATTCTATCAGCATTCAGTTTACATTCAGAGAGATTTCACTACGATTAATAACCTCTGTATGAATAAATGATTCCATGTTCCCCAAAACACATCAACATAATACCAGAGTCCCTGACACTGCAAAACAAAAAGTACTGATATACCTTGTTTCCAAACCACCTCATCAACTTCCAAGGGCAGATTGAATAGTTGGAATAGCATAAAAAACATGCATTTCAAATCACCATAAATTCACAACTTAAGAATGGATACTGATACATGTCTAAACATAATGGCTTTTAATCTTCAAAGCTAAATTGTTGGGTGCAACTGCAAACAATATGATGACATCAACTTCAATCAACATGAGAAATTAAAATGAGGTGCAGAACTACAAACAGAAGATTCAAGGTGCAGCCGTAGATGTTTTGTTATGTTAAAATGAGGTGACAAGTCATCCATAATTGGCAATAGAAGATTTAAGAAACAATAGGAATTGATCCAAACTGACAAAAAATCAAGTACAGGAATACATGCCCTGTTTGGAATAGCTTAACTCAAGTTTTTTTGGACTGGATTTTTCTAGGTCCAGAAATTTGCGGAGTTGGACCACCTGTGAGATTAAGCTTGTTAAAACAAGAAATTTTGTTAACATTTGAGATCAGAAAGAGGATCCTTCAATTTAATCTACAAACTCTACTTTCTATACAAATGCAGTAAGTAGTTGGAACCAAGCCAAACTGAGCCACAGTATTCACCATGACATTTTGATATTATGCAGATGATCCTTGTTGCTAAATTTTTTATATTGAATTCTAGATTTCCAGTATAACCAACACAGAATCCATGAAACAATACTTGAGTGAACAAGGGGTAAATCTTACAAGGACAGAATAAAACATTGACAGAGCAGAACAGAAAAGGCTGATATTGTAGATGGATGAGTGTTTACAGACAAGAGTAAGCACAAATAGTCAGGAATGCTTAGTTTACGACCTTAACTTAAATTGATCATGCTATTGAAGGTCATCAATCAAGAAAAAAATGTCAAGAAACAACACTCGATAAGAAAACATCACAACTACCTTAACACAATGAATTTGGTTTCTAGGTAATTTCTGCTGAATTGTAGTCCTTAGCATACTATGATCCATTATGTGCACAAGCGGTACCAGCCACTGGTTGAATTAACCACAAAACAGATTTTAAAAGTATCAGGCAGCAGGGGCAGAAAACTTATCATAAGGTGGGCAACACCAAAGTGCAGCGAGGACAACTTTGTTTGCCAAGCATCTCTGCCAGTTTCAATGTCACAGTTGCAATAATTAGTTCAAAAGCTCATGCAGTCATGCTCTTGTCTAAGACTATTACCACATACCGATTTTCTGGGCAATTAAAGCAGATAACAGGTGACCAGCAAGCAAGCTAATTCTCACTTCTCAGCAACATGCTATGTACCACAAGTATGTAGCATCCCCATAATCAAAAGTTGAGCAATTATAATATCATCATAAGAACAAGTGTCCACAGATTAACCGATCAATCAAGAACATCTGCTACCCTGAACCTGAAGGCTACTACTTGTTCTTGCCGGCCTTCTTCTTACCCACGGTGGAAGGGGTGGCGCTGACCTGCGGGCGCGGGTGGCGGTCGGCCTCGGCGGCGTCGAGCCACTTGAGCGGGTGGCGGTTGAAGAAGGGCCAGTTCGGGACGGTGACGAGCGCGGTGAGGACGACCCCGCCGGCGTAGACGAGCAGCATGAGCTGGAAGTCCGCCATGGCGTAGCCCACCACGAACGCCGCCACCGCCGACGCCACCAGCAGCAGCTGCATCAGCATCTCCGCGAGCTTCTGCCCCTGCCAATCCATCTGCGAGCAAGCACACACGGGGATCAGGCGAGGCGGATCTTGGATGGATGGATGGATGGATCTTGGGTGCGCTGATGAGGAAGAAGGGGGATCTGAGGGAAAGAAGGACGGGGTGCCCGGATAGGATGGAGGAGGAGGGGTTGGTTACCTTGGGTGATTCGGCCGGCGGCGGGAGGGGGAGTAGCCGGAGGAGAGGACGACGGCGGGGAGGAGTAATGGAGCGGATCTGTTCGGAATGCGCGGCGGCGGCATCTACGGGGAGTAAGGTCCCCGAGGCTGTCTGTGCTGGGCAAGCCCAGGGCCATTCAAGGCCCGGTTGGACAGAGTGATGGGATGGGTCGTGTTGGGTTGGGCTGCGCTGTTTTTCTAATCCTATCTTAGTAAAAAGTATACCGAAGGTACCTCAACTTGTCATTGAGTTACAAAATCGTCCTCCAACCGCAAAACCAGATATCCGACGTCGCTTAACTAATCAAAACCGGCCACAATAGGTCCTTTGGTGGTTTTGATCCCGATTTTATCCTACATGGCGGCTGAGTCAGTATGGGACCCGCATGGACCCCGCCTATCAACATGCCATGTGAGCACCCTCTCTCTTCCCCTTTTATCCATTCCTCCTCTCTCTCTCACTCTTCTCTTGGCAAGCCGATCGGTAGCTGGGAAGAGGCCGCCGAGCCGAGGTGGCGGCGGCGAAGCGGTCCCGCATGGGCGGCCGCTGCGGCGTTGGGCGTGGAGGCCGACGAGGACGTGATGCGGTGATGATGCTGGTCCTCCCATCCTCATCCACCGCGCCGCCATTGCTGCCGACGCCACAGACGGCTCGCCTGCTCCCGTGCCGCCGGCCACCGGCGAGAACGTGCGAAGGAGGAGGTGGGGAGGTCGACAGCGAGCACGCGTAAAGAGGGAGGATGCGGCGTGGGAGCCGCAGTGCCCGTCCGCACGGGGCCGCTTCGCCAGCGGCGGCGACGCAGCCGATGCCATTCGCGACCTACCACCACCTTGATTAGGCGTCCTTCTTCGGATCTTGCTCGCCCGTGACGCCTTCATCCTTCTTCGGAGCGACGACGGGCGGTGGGCGGAGTAGAGGGACGATGGGCGGTGGGCGATGCGACGTGTGCCCGCAGGGCGAGGAGGGGCTGCTCGCTGCGGCCGGGCGAGGAGGGAGGCAGTGCGCGGTAGCCGGGTGAGGAGGGGCGGTGCGCGGTGGCAGAGGAGGGAGGCAACGCACGGCGGCGGGGCGAGGAGAGGTTGCGCGCAGCGGCTGGGCATCGCAGGCGGAGCAGCCGACGGCGTGGAGCTGCCACGCTCGCTGGTGAACTTTCCCTCCTCCTGACGGCAACGACGACAATAACCGGAGGCAGACCTCTACACCATCGACACCAAAGGCGAAGACGAAGAGGATGCTGACGGTAGACGGGCTGTCACACCCTGAAGCTCTTCTCCCAAGCCCAAATTTAATTAATAAATGGTATTGAGAAATTACCGGTGTAAAAGCAAGAGAGAAACCCTAATTGAATTAATGCAAATAATAAACGGAAATGGCATGTGGAATTTTTCTTGAGTTCTACATGTCAAAATATGCTAACAGGATTTTTAGTGAAATTTTCAGAGCTCTAGAAATAATTTTAACCAATTAAAAATGAGCACAAGCATTATTTAATCCCTGGAAATTCTTTTCCCCTTTCTCCTTTTTCTTTCTCCCTCTTTTTCCTAATGGGCCGCCGGCCCATTCCCTATCCTTCTCCCTCCCGCACCCTTGCTGGGCCGGCCGAAGGCCACGGCCTAGCAGCCGCCCGCACCCCCCTCCTCTCTCTCTCCCGGGGTCGCCGACAGGTGGGGCCCACCTGTAGGGCCCGTCTACAACCTCCACCCGGAGGAGGAGGCCGGCCTCCCCAACCGCCACTCCCACCTCTCCCTCGCCTCCCGGGCCACGTCGCCCATGTCGCCGCCTTCCCCCGCGCCTCCCCGCGCCTACTCCCTCTCTCTCCCGCCCGCGCCCGCGCCGACACGGCCGGGATTCTTTTTTTGAATCCCGCCGGCCACACCCTCTCTCCACCCCATACTACTCCGGTGAAATCGGGCCATTTCCTGCTCCCCCGAGCCCTCTCTTCCCCTATTTAAGCATCACTGCACCTCCCTCTCCCTTTTTCCCCATTTCGCCGAGCCTCTTCGTGCTCTCCTCCGCCCTAGCGCCGCTGCCCTCCTCTCCGCCGCCGCCACCGCCGCTCCAGTCGCCGCTAGCAGCCGCTAGCCGTCGCGTCGAGCCGCGCCGTCGACACCGTCGTGTTCGCCGTCGTGCGGGCCGCCTCGTCCACCCCTCCTCCGTCGGAATCCACCGCCGGAACTCCTCCTTCGTTGCGCGCCGGTGAGCACCGCCATGGCCGCCGCCTTCGGCTGGCGTTCCCGCTCTCGATGATCTCTCTCTCCCTCTCTAATCTTCCCTATTTTTGTTCCTTAGGTCCTCTTGAAGCCCGTCCGCCTCTCGCCGTCCGCCGTCCGCTGCTCGCCGCGGCATTCGCTGTCGGTAAGGAACCCCCTCCCATCCCTCTCTCTCTCTCCCATACTGTCGACGCTGTTTTGTCGCGTCGCCTCGCTTTGGGGCCGTGCCGCCGTGCGTCGCCGTATAGCCGCCGCCGCCCCGCCGCTGTCTGCCGCATCGCCGCCGCCGTCCGCCGGTCGCTGCCGGTGCCGCGCTGTCGCCGCGTGGCCGCCAGGAACGTGTCGTGGGGCTGTGTCTTGTGGGTACAGGTGTACACATCTGATCAGAGTAATACTATTCGAATAGCCATGCCCGCGGTTATGGGCGGTCAACCAGATTCACCGTGATTAGTCTCACCCTAGTTTAGTCTAATGGAATTGATTAGTTCAAGAGGATGGTTGGGTCTGTTGCAACGTGGTGTAGCGTTGGACAGTGGATGGTAAATATTGTTTAATTATTACAACTGTTTTACTGCTTTCAACTACTGTTTATAAATGCTCGCTTTATGCAAATGAACCGCTCTAGCTACCCTTTGGTTATATCCTACATCATACCCCCTCTTTCGGTATGACTTGCTGAGTACGGTGGTTGTACTCAGTCTTGCTCTACTTTTCCCCAACCCCTGAGTTTGAGTATGCGTCAGATGGTGTGTTTTCGGAGGAGTAGGCTTCATCCGTGCCGTCGAGGATGCCTGTGGAGTGGTGTTCCCGCTGCAATCTAAGTCAAGGCTTAGCTCTAGTTATCTTTTATTTTCCGCTGCATTTATGTAAGACTTTTATAATATTTGTAAGACGTGGATCTGTATGTCAACTTTATCGTTTGTGTACCCCGGCCGGTCCTGGACGGGGGTTTTAATGCACATTCTACTTGGCATCTTGGGTACCTACCTCGCCAACATGGTGGTTGAGGCATCTGGAGGCACCGCTAACCACGCCTGCTAGGAGGCGGCATACCTGATGATGGCCAGGCTTCGTGACCGCCACAGCTACACCTTCCGCAGCACGGCATACCGCTTCCACCCTCGCCGAGCAGATGATGACGACTTCAGTACCTTCCACCCGACGGCTGGCGAGAACGACACCACCTTCAGCCACATTTGTGCCGTGATGAAGGGGATGGACAGGATGCACTCTGACCTGGACAAGGCATCCAAGGCCTTGAATGATGGAAAACTTGTGAGGATTATAGCCTTGAAGGATGAGATAACGCGCCTGAAGTAGGAGAACGCTCAGCTGAGGGGTCTCCCAGCTCCAGGAGGGGTCCGGATCCGCACCACGCCCGGCAAGACTACCACTGCACCCGTGCGCACTCAGCTTGCGCCCAGGAACCCACCTCCTCCAGCACCTTCCGCATCACCAGCACCTCTCGCAGCTCCAGCTCTAGCTCCTGCTCCAGTGTCAGCCCCCGTGTCCGCCCTCTCCTTCGCTCCAGCTTCAGCCTTTAGGGGTCCAGCCAGTGGCAATGGAGGTTGGTTGCCTGCTACTCCCAGTGGCAGCCGCGACCGCAACAGCAGTTCCAGCAGCTTAGAGCCGGGCAGTGGCGAGACGTACCTGCAGGACTCCAAGAGCCGCTCAGAGGGACCAGGAGACGAGCAGGAGGACGCCTTCGACTCCACTGACCGCAGGAGCCGTTCCGAGCATTAGGCTCATTTTCAGTTAGCATATCGTTCTGCTTAGTAATTGTCTGTTAGTTTGTGTGTTTAGGTTTGTTCACTTGTGGGTCAGTCGACGGTCGATATCATATGCCTATGATATGGCTGTCCTAATAAGGATTTGCTTGCTGTTTTAAGTGTTTTAATTTAGATCAGAACAATTGCAGTTTAAATTTCTATTTAATAAAGCTTAGTTCCTGAGCATCTACTCTTCCCCTCCGTCTGCTCCTCCTTCAGATGGTCTACACCAGGAATGGCGGCCGCACAGCGGGTGAGGGCAGCAGTGGCGAAGAACGCGCCGATGGTGGACACCCCAACAGCGCCTCCGGCAATGGTTCGCCACCGCTCCCCGAGAACCCAATGCTTGCACAAGTGATGGCCCATCAGACCCAGATGATGGCGGCCATGATGCAGCAGATGTAGCAGCAGCACCAGCAAATGCACCAGAGGATGCAGCAGCAGGCTGATCAGCACCAGCAGCAGTTTGGTCCCCCTCCCCCTCAGTCCAAGCCGCCAGAGTTTCTACGCGTCAGGCCACCCACCTTCTCTAGCACCACCAACCCCATGGAGGCAAATGACTGGCTCCATGCCATAGAGAAGAAGCTCAACCTTCTGCAGTGCAATGATCAGTAGAAGGTCGCCTTCGCCACACACCAGCTCCAGGGTCCCGCATCAGCTTGGTGGGACAACCACGTGGCAACCCGTCCGCCAGGCACAGAAGTCACTTGGGTGAAGTTCTGTCGCAGCTTCAAGAAGGCGCAGGTGCCAGACGGGGTCGTGGCACAAAAGAAGAGAAAATTCCGGGCACTCAACCAGGGCAACAGGACAGTGACTGAGTACCTGCATGAGTTCAATCGCCTAGCGCGATATGCATCGGAGGATGTCCGCACCGACGCAGAGAAGCAGGAGAAGTTCCTATCAGGCCTGGATGATGAGCTGACCAATCAACTGATTTCCGGGGATTACGCTGACTTCGAGAAGCTAGTAGACAAGGCAATCCGCCAGGAGGATCAGCGCAACAAGCTGGACAGGAAGAGGAAGGCCGCCTAGTTTAGGGCACACCGGGGAGGTCACCATAGGCTGCGCTTCACTCCCAGACAGCAGGGTGGACCCACCACCATGATTGTTCGCCAGCACCACCCCTATTCTTCCGGCAACTTCCACCAGGGTGCCAGTGGAT